TGGTTATTTCAGATCATGCACACACACATAAAAATGTTCTCAATTCAGCACAACTTCGCATCAGGATTCGCATCATGATTCAGACATATTTGACTTTGCTTCACTTAACAACACATTTCTCCACATTCATTCAGACAAGTTTGACTTAAATTTGAAGTAACTCTGACCACTTTGACCTTGTCTTTTTCTTTTGTTCCTGTACGTTCTCAGTTCCATCGATGGAATCATTATCATCTCATTATCTTCATCTTCTGAATCATCATCTGCACATTCTCCCCCTGTGTGCATGTATGAAATAATCCAAAATCTTGAGTGAGAAGAGATTTAAGACACTTACCTGGCTTGCAGAATTTTGAATCTTCCTCTTGGATCTAGGAGTGCACACATTTGTCTCACCATTCTTCTGTTCAACACTTAACAACAACACTCGCAGTAGGATAATATGAGTGATACCTCCTTTCTCATCACAAAATTGATTGCAAGTCTCTGATTTTTCAGCTCCACATTGTCCAATAACTTAGTCATTACTTCACCACTCAACTCAAATCCGGTTTATATATATATTTTTTTTGAAAATCAAATGAAAACACATGCGAGATTAATTAGGATCTTTCAAATTTTAAATCTAATAACATCATTCAGCAGATCATTAGAGCATAATGCTTGATCAGTTAAGTCAGAAATACCTCACTTTCCACCGAACACTTCACTGACTTTTCTCCCCCTGAACTTCTAGGACGTTGAAACCGAGCATGCAAGTTTCACCATTTAAGTCCAGACTATCTCACTGAGATATACTCTTGTAATGTTTCAAATTACAGCGGAGTATGATGCATGAATATCATTTGCCCTTAGACCATCGTATAGACTGCATGTGGTTCAACTTAGACCCGAATGATTCAATTTTCCAATCTACTCATATCAACTTTTCCTCCTTTCCTTTTTCTTTCTTTTTCTTTTTCCTTTTTCATCACTTTTTTTTTCTTTTTCTTTTCCTTCTTTTCCTTCCTTTTTTTTTGTCATTCAGGAGTACTAAGTCAACAGAGGAGTATCAGGGGATGACCATGTCATTTTTTTTTAATTATACTTGGCATACCTGTCAAGTATCACTGACTCTCCTTCACAATCATTGAACCAAATCACTTTCGAATAGACACCATTAGAGATAAAATCATATTTCTCCTAAACCAAAAGATTTTTTTTAAAAAAAAAACACAAACTCATTCATATCAAATGGTTTCGTAAAGATATCAGCTAATTGGTGTTCAATGAGTGCATA